TCTGAAGTGTCTGCGGTGGCCGCATGCCCTGTCACTCTGAGCAAGGCATTTCTTAAATATCTGTGCGCGTCACACTCCGAGTTCCAGGAGGTACCTCCCAGGGGTGACAGGACTCTACGGCACAGCTGTGAGAACTGCATCAGTGTCACCAGGACACTGCGATGTGGCCACACGGGACATACATTGTCAGCTGGGTGTCTGCAGAAACCCACGAGTGGGTCTGGAGTCAGAGGGTGAAGGGACCAGCCGTGCACAGTAGAGCCCAGGGTCTTATAGTTTCCACTGTTCCCTTCCCGGGAACTAGTTTTATCCGCATTATCTGGTGGGCACAGTATCTTTCCCTCCTGTTATAGGCTGAACATGCCCTCCTCTCCATAATGTTTATATATTTAAATTTTTAAGTCCTAACCCCAGGACCTCAGAATGTGACTGCACTTGAAGACAGGGTCTTTACAGAGGTGGCTTAGGTTAGATAAGGTCACTGGGGTGGGACTTCACCCAGTATAACTGGTACCCGCATACGAAGAGACGATTGGGATGCAGATGCTGCTGGCAAGGGGAAGACCACGTGAAGACACGGGGAGAAGACGGCCGTCTGCAGGCCAAGGAGAGAGGCCTCAGAGGACCGCAGTCCTGCCGACACCCTGCCGTCAGACTCCCCGGCTCCAGGCCCGTGAGACGATAAACGTGCGTGTGGAAGCCCGCGGCCTGCAGCACGCTGCTCGGCGGTCCCCAGCGGAGGCCCGCACCCCCGGGCCTCACACCTGCCCCTCTGGAGACGGACCGTCTCGGCCCACTCAAAACCTGCAACGGACCCTCAGCACCTTGATGTTTTGTTCCAAACGTAAGATAAACGTCATCTCTTCCTCTGATTCACACTTCTCTTTCACTTGCGGCCTGATCGTCAATCAGCACCTTACTGTGCGCTTTCGCCCCGCCCCCCCACCCCGCCCCCGTCCAGGCCGCTGGAGTCTGTGCTGCCCTCCCCGCGTCCCTCAGTGTGCGTCTTCTCCCCCGGGCGCCTTCTTGAGGGCAAGGGCACTTAAATCTACCTCCCTCTTTTCTTTTCTCCCCCTTTGAGATTTTATTTATTTATTTTTTAGAGAGAGGGAGAAACATCAACCGCCTCTTGCACGCCCCAGGGACCTGGCCCTTACTGGGCACTGAACCTTTGACCTTTCCTTCTCAGGCCAGCGCTCAGTCCACTGAGCCACGCCAGCCGGGCCCGGCCCCCTCACATCCCCTCGTTCAACACTCGGCTGGAAACTCTGGGCAGTAACACCTGCACTCACAAGGCTCTTCGCCTTGAAACTGGATTTGCTCAAATTTTCATTTAAAACCTAGCTCTTACTGATTAATAAATTCAACTGTCCCTCAACAGCCCAAAAGCCCATTCAGATTTTAGAAGCAAAGTCATGGAGAAACTTGGGTGTCTCTCTGCTTAGAGAATCCATCTGTGTTATAATTTAAGGTGTTTTCAAATGTGAAGAGGGTTTGACCTCTTTGAAAATAAGAAGCAGCTTTTCCAGCTGGGACCCTGCTAGTGTGGTTACTAAGGAGACCAACGGGCTGTAGGTGCTGCAATTAATCAGTGAATTCCAAACAGCCAAACACCTGGTGGTGAGAGGCTCTCTCCTCTGAGCGGGGGAGGTTGCTGGGTGGATGGAGCTTCCAGGAGCCCAGTATGGTCACCTTCCCACCACGCTCCTGCTACTGACGTGTTCCAGTGGTCCTGTAAAGAGCTCCTAAAACGCACCTGTCAGAACGGAATGGAGTCTAATTCTCGCAGCCACTCTGGCTTGGGCCCTGGTGCCAGCGGATGGCAAGCTGGCGTGGACAGAAGTGAATGCCCACTGCCTCACGCTCCCCAGAAATACGGCCGTGTGACTTTTTCTCTTCAGTGATGTTAACAAATACACACTGTCTGTAAGAACGGGGGCAGCTCGCTCCCTGGTGACCAGCTTCCATACCCGAGGGAGGCCCATGGACCTCAAGACACCACGAGTCAGCAGCAAAGAGCCAAGGAAAAAGCCTTTAAGTGGTTGTGAGCACCACACAATTTGTATCTTTTCTGGTCCTCCCTTGCTCTTCCGAGAGGCAGCGTTCTTAGGCCCCCAAACGACAGGGTTGTACACTCCCTCTCTCGGTTCCCTCCCGTGATAGGAGACAGCCTACCACAGAATGCAGCCTATTCCACCCAAAGAGAACTTCCAGGTCATTGGGGTCAGCTCTTTGATTCGCTAAGTGAGGAAAGAGAAGTTCAGAGAAGGTACGTGGTTTTCACTCTTGCTTTTTCTGTCCCTCAACTTCGAGGAAAGAAACGCCCTTGGGTACCTGGAAATGACAAGGTGCTCAAAGGAAGGCGTAGCATGTCAAATGATTTCGTACCGCATGTGAGAGAATACAGTAGGAGAATGTCATCAATCCATGGCTCCGGCGAACAGCCTCTGTCTAGCCACCCCCTCTGAGCTATGACTTCGTAGTGTCCATCCAACCTGGCTCTGGACTGGCCTTAGATTGCCTTTAGCTAACAAATGCAGCAAGAGCAATGGAGCCCCAACTCTAAGCTTGAGTCCAAAGGACTCTACATACTTCTGCTCGTTTCTTCGCCGGACTGTCCTCGCTTACGCTTGCACCTCAACCTTCCTAGGAGGTCAAGCCAGACAGCCTGCTGCAAGGGTATGAGAGACACTTGAAGGATAAGACACACTAAAGTGCCTCTAGCTGAGAGCCCGTCCACCTCCTGAAGCCAACCTCAAGCTGGCTGCCGAAGAACCACCCAGCAGACCCCAGCCTAAACTGACAATCTGCAGTATCACCAACCAAAAAAAAAAGATTTGTTGTTTAAACCTGACTTTGGTGTGGCTTGTTATGCAGCGACAGCTAACTAAAGCCTGACTTATGTTTGAAATGAATATTTTAGTGTTTTCTCTTTGAAAAAAATTTGGAGGTTGGAACTCCATGACTGATACAGCAGCTTCATAGTTATCGAGACCCAGAATCCTATCTTTATGCTCCATCACCTCCATGGCTTTCATCCTCAACGTTGTCTCATAATCCAAGATAGCTGCTAGAGCTCCAGCCATCACCTCTGTGTTCCAGACAGGAAGGAAAGAGGACAAGAAGAGGTCTCTTCTAGCTGAATTGTTCCCCTTGAACCAACATTCCTGGAAGCTCCACCCAATGATTAGCAGCTTGAGTCTCATTAGCTACACTTAGCTGCAAGGAAGTCTGAAATATGTAGCCTTTTAGCAGAACGGATTGCCACCTACCATAAAATCAAGGTTACTATTTACTAAGGAAGAACAGGAGTATGGGTATTGAGTAGGCAACCAGCAATTTCTGCCATGGCGTGTGTTCAATCAAGCTCCAGGAGTGGACCCCCCAATATAAACATATCAAGATGCAAAACTGACCACATGCCATACTGATTTCTCAGTGGTGGCTTTGACCTGTAGTAACAAAGTGTAAGATTACTGGCAATAGAAATTTAAGTGGAAAATTATGAGTATGCCGGTCTCCCAGGCCCTTTTGCTCTGAATATTAATGAAAGGGAAGTTCGATTGTTAGAATTTGCTGCTCTTTACCTAGGGCAAGGGGGTACTTGCTTGCTTCCTTCCTTCTATTTTTCAGTGAGATACAACTCACATAACATGAAGTTCACCACTTTTAAACAGATAACTCAGGGGTTTTCAGTACATTCACTGTGTTGTACAACAATCAGCCCTACCTAGTTCCGGAGCACTCCCACCATCCCCCAAAGAAACCCCGTGCCTATCAGCAGTCAGAACACGTACTTTCATCCCTCTCCACCCAATCTCAAAGTGATGGGAGAGCCTGGCTTGCCACAGGAGAAGGTGCCTGGGCTCCTCAGACAACACAGGCTCAAACACTGGGATTCTGGAATACTTGGGGATCTTCCTGGGAAAGCCAAGGAGGATGTCAGGATGCGATTTGCCGAGGGCAAGAAAAGGTGGGCTCCGTAAGGGTGCTGCAGAATCAGCACTCCCTGCCTGGGCTGCCTGTGAGCCACCGTCCTGCAGGGAAGGGGAGGAGGCACCGTGCGGAGTGGCGGGAGCATCCTCAACAGCCTGGGAGACCCTAAGACACCTTGGAGGGACGCCCCGAAGCACAGCAGCAGCTTTGAAGGCGCTGCTGCGACGCCACATGCTGAGAGGGGCTTTCTAGATCAGCTGGCATCGTTCAGTGTGAAAAGGATGAAGGGGACACAGAACTCACATTTGCTAACGGTCCCATGTGTTCCAAATTTGCACAGAATGTCGTTCTTCTACTCAGAAGCGTCCCAGAAGGCGTGACGCCCATTTTACAGGAGGAGGGCCTGAAGTTCGCAGAGAGAAGTAACTCGCCAGAACGTCAGACACTTTGGTCTAAGTCTAAAGTCCCAGCGTCCACACTGTGCCGTGTGGTGGGCACCTGTGAAGTGCCTCCCACCCTGGCCCTCGGCAGGCAGAGCCACTCCCTGCCGTGGCACCGCTGCGGGTGCCTGCAGGGCAGTGATGGGAGGAGGAGGCTCGGCTGGCTCTGGGCTTCTCCCAGCTGGTGGGAGCTTCAGGCATGAGCCTCCCCTCCTTCTTTCTGCCCCATCTCTCATCTTCACTCCTCAGGCAGAAAGGCTGCTCGGGGAGACTCGAGGACTGGGGTCTGACTCGTCACTGTCGCCAGGAGCCTTTTTTTCTCTGACTGACTTACCAGAAGAGGCTGTCAGTCCTGGCAGTGCCTCTGGAAGGGAGGGGAAGCAGCTGTGGGATGCTGGCTGAGCCGAGTCCAGGTACAGCAGGCTTGAGCGTCATGGGCTGATGGGGAGGTTGGGGAGTCACAGGTCTGAGCACAGAGCCAGGGGGCGGGGAACAGCCGGGAAGGATGGTAGGTCCTGCTGTTCACTTGCTCAAGGGGGTCAGCGTGTGCATGTGTCATCGAGGTGGGCAGGGAAGGGGAGGGCTGTGCGTGCAGGGGGAGGGTATATATGCTGGTGCGGTGGAGACGGCGGAACCGAGCCTCACATCCGAGGGAGCCACGCCACTGCCAGCTCTCAGGTAGGCGATGCCTGCGAACCCCAGCCGAGACAGAGTGCCGGGGGCCCGAGGGGGAGCAGGGCAGCAGGGGCCCCCTCCTCAGCCTCTCCTTTGTCCCGTGCCGATGCTGCTGTCCTGAGAGATCATTTCTTCCTTCGTTTTATTTTCAATGCTTGGACGGAGGGTGGAGGGAAGCTTGAGGCTTTTTGTCCTGAAGACAGACAGAGAAGAAAGAGCCAGCCTAACTCGGAGACGAGGAAAAGTTTTGATTTCCCAGATGTGGCCCCTGCTTGTCATTCCCGTCTGATGAGAAAAGGTGGCTGTGGCCACCAGGCTGTGGAAGGGGTGGCTCAGGGCTCGGGGTTGCCCTGCAGGGTGGCCCTGGGAAGCCCCCCGGGCACCCTTGTGCGTGACTTCTCTGTGCAGCCGACCGGCTCCCTTTCTTTCCTTCCCTCCTGGTGTGTTCAGGCTGGTTGATTAGGATTTGGGTTTTTGGTCCTAAAGGAACCCTTCTCCCACATGCTCTGAATAGCAATTGTTCGTGATGCGGTGGGGAAAGTCGGACCCGCGGCGCTGCGCCGGACCAGTCATACTCGGCTGACTGCGGTTGCTGTGTGTGAATTCCACATCGATCTCTGCAGGGATGACCTTGGTCTCCCAGACCCTGAGTCATTTTGATTGTCTCCTCTTTCTTTGCGTCTTTCTCCTCCTGCCCACCTCTCCCACCCAGAGGTCCCTGCCAGGGTCCTGTGCAACTGCGAGGTGCGGAAGTCACCCAAACTCTCTCCCTCACTCTCTCCCCGCCTCCTTTTCTCTCTCCTTCTCTCTTTGTGCGTCTCTCTGCCTGCGCGTCTGGCTTCCCCTCCCTCCATTACCCATCCTCTCCTCCCCCACCTCACTCTGAACGTGGACAAGTTCTGGGGGAATTTCAAGCAAGGCAGGATGATTTGGGAAACGGACTATTTAAAGCAAGCTGCTTTGGACTTGAATACCCCGATCCTGGGCTTAAACATCTGTGTTTCTCTTCCTCAAGCGGTCCATAATTGCCCCAATTATGACCAGGAACATTGTTCAGGAGAATAACAGAAGATGAGCGTCGCATGGCACTTGCCGGCGAGCCTAAGCCAGAGTTTTCAGCACAGAGGGGAAAGTAAACGCCTGGCTCCCTATCGAACCCCCCGAAGAAATCGCTGCTCCCTCTCACTGCCTGTGGGCGGCTGCTACACGCACTCCTTTCCCACATTTACAAAGTGTGGCAGGGAAACGTTCTACGGGTGCTGTGGTACCTTTAACAGAAAGGGATTGGTGATCCTGTTCTCCCTGAGTCTTCTGCCGGGTAGGGTCCCCGGAATACCTGTCCCCAACCGCCCCCTTAGTAAAAGCAGCTTCCAGTGTCCCCCATGCTGCCCTGCCGGTCCAGGGCACTGGGTGAAGCCCCAGGTCATTGGGGGGAGGCAGTTCTGCTCTCCCCGGGGGCAGCAGCCCCGGCGTATCAGTCACGCGGAGGGTACTCCAGTCTCTAGAGAATGCAGGGGATTTTGCATCGGCAATGAAGGGAGTAATTGCAAGATTAGGCTCAAACCCCTGCTCTCTGGAGCCTGTAACAGGAGCTGTCACAAAGCCGTTCTGTAGTCAATCAATCAGGCATTTATCTTCTCCCCTCCACCAGGCCGGGGAGGTGCGCCCGGGCTCCGCGGGGATTCAGCAGAGGTGATAATAACAGCCCTCTACGTCTGTACAGTAATTTACATCTCAGACAACGCTTCCACACCCATTATCCCTGGCAACGGCCCTGGGAAGTGGCGTCATTATCTCCGTGTTGCAGTTGAAAACTGAAGCTGAGAGGTTAAATAATTTCTTCGGGATGTGGTGGACAGAGGACTGAGTCCCGCCTCCCTGAGTCCAGCACATCGCCTGCCTTGGGCCAGGGGTGCTTGCAAACTCACCAGGTCAGGGGTGGGCAACACGAGCCCAGTGAGATGATCAGAGGACAATGCCAGGCTGTCTGCAATTAAGACCTAAGTGGCATGGTCCAGCCAGCAAGTGCTGGAGAGATTCCAGGCGAAGAGCATTTGCCCCAGGGACTGCGGGGATTCGAGCAAGGCAAGGAAGGATGTGAACAGGTCAAGGGATTCAGAGAGAGAGGCGACCGCCAGGACAAAGGCACAAAACAAGGGCAAATTAAGTAGGTTTATGGAAACTGTTATGTGCTAGGCAGTGATTTAAACTAGTCTACAGGCTCCTTTCGTGCTAAGACACACGCAGACACAAACACAGGGAAAGATGCGAGATTTAGGGGAGCGTTTTGCACTTCTATCAGCACAGATCAGTGGACACCAGCCCTGACCCCACAGCCACCAAAGCCGAGATGCAAGCTTCGAAATCCACCAGTTCTGAGTCTGGGTGGAGCTACTCACTCACCAGTTGTCCTAGGGAGGGGACAGCCCCTCTCCCAAACCAGGAATCGTCATGACAGATGTCACAGTGGCTTGAATTGCTGGGCAAGCTGGATTTTCTAAACACTTCCGTTTAGATGCCTAGAGGTGCTCCTTGATGTAACAGGAAGGTTTCCTTCTAAACAAAAACTGACTGTGAGATTTGGGGCACACCAGTTTCGAGACCAAGCCCATTTTCTGGGCATCTCCCTAGACAGGCTGTGGTCACGACGTGTCTCGACTTTCGGTGAGCCTGTGGTGTTTCAGACACGGGCAGCTGCCTCGGCACCGCAGCGACACGGTGAGGCCAGCTCCGCAGGGCTGGCCGGGCAGGTGAAGTGGGGGGCTCAGGGAGTGGCCGCCCGGCTGGGCCTTCGCTGCCTCCCCACCATGGCTCAGAGCCAGCCCGCCCTCTTCCCGCAGGGTCCCGCGCTCTGCCCTCAGCCCTGCTCCCCGTTCGTCCAGCCAGGAAGAATGTGTGGCATTTCTGCTGGGAGCCCCCGGGGCCTGGAAAAGAGACCTGTCCGACTGACCTCGGCTTTCTCAGAACACACAGCCTGTGTCCTCAGTCCGCTGGGCTTCGGGACGCGGAGACTGTGTTTTTTACGTTACCTTTTTTAAATTTGCCCCGGGTCGGTTTCATAATGTACATAAATAAGTAAATTGGGAACGGATTGCTAGTGGGATCAGTCTAACGCAGTTTGAAGGTTATTGGCCAGGGTCCACTGCTCTTTTGCTTATGTGTATTTTCTAATCTATTGAAAAAGAACACTGAGTGATTTCCGTATAAAAGCAAACAAATGATTTTAAATTTTTACCTTCACTACTTATTTTGATAGTATGTTGTGGAACTATGGGCCAGAGTCAGGAAAATTAAAGAGTGATACCTTTTCTTCATTTTGTTTCTAATACTTCCCCCGTCATCAAGGCTTAAAAATCAATATGTTTATTGATTTTTAAAGAGAGAGAAGGAGAAACACTGATCTGTTGCTTCCTGTAGGCACCCCAACCAACCAGGGTATCATCAAACCTGCACCCTAGGAAAGTGCCCTGACCAGGAATCAAACCTGCACCCTAGGAAAGTGCCCTGACCAGGAATCAAACCTGCACCCTTTGGTGCGTGGGTGACGCTCCAACCAACTGAGCCATCTGGCCGAGACAAGAGTGACACCTCCGCAATGCAGAAAACGTTGGGCCCCTCCAGGGCCCCCCCAGACCCTCTCCTGAGCCCCAGGCTGGGCCGTCACCACGACCTCAGTTCTGTGCTGCCCAGAAGCTGCTAGTCCACCAAGCCCTCGCTTCTCTCCTTTGGCCCTCCTTCCTTCCTGCTTCCCTGACTGGGAGAGCACAAATATCTAGCCACTTAGAAAATAAAAAATATCAACTATCTAATCCAACTGCCTCTTTTTGGAGAATGGGAAACTGAAGCCCAGAAAGAGGGCCTTGCTCAGGACCCCACGGACATCCACAGAGCCGGGGCTCGAACCCAGGACTCCGGTTTCCACACGCAGGGCCCTGCCCACTCCCTGCGCCCCAGCCCTGGGCTACTTGGTCTTGCTTTGCCCTCCACCTCCTCCTGGCTCGCCCCCTCTTCCCAAGTGGGCATTTGGAGCAGAAAGGGGGCCTTTTCGAATGTGAGCATATTAGAGGAGGGACAAACTGCAGGGGCTTTGCTCGGCCGGAGCTGGAGCACAACCAAAGTGTGGGCATCTGTCCACACCCAGCTGAAGAAGTGGGGCGTGCGGGAGACAGACCCCTGTGCTGGGGGGCAATGAGAAATCCCACCGTGACCCTGGCAGAGCCCACAATAAAGGGGGGGACCCTGAGTTTGGGACAAAAGGAGGTCCTCAGAATGAATTCAGCTACTTGAAGCAGACAGACAGCTACGGAGGGGCTGTCCCAGTGGGAAGGTCTGGGGACAGCATGAGCTTGGGAACCAGACGGTCTGAGCCTCAACCCCTCCCCTCCACGTCCGTCCCCTCATCATGTCTTCTCACACGCACGGCGGGACACGCACCCTTACCTCGGAGGAGGGTGCTTACAAAGCAGTTGGCAGAGTGTCTGGCACATAGTATTCTGAATATAATAGTAATGTGATTACGATTAAACTCAGAGACCATCCCAACAAGATTCCACCAGAATTTGCCAACCTTTCCAAAGCAGAGCCAGTAGGCGGAGCCTGTGGTTCCCTGGACCACACCAATTGATGTCAAAACACCTGAGTTCAAGTCCTCGCTCTGCTGTTGGTGAGCTGGATGCTCTTGGGCAAGTTGCTTGGCCTCTGTGCATGTATGTTCGCCTCAGAAAGGGGGACAATGTGCACCCTAGAATATTATAGGGCTGTGCATGAATGTAAAAGTCTTCTATAACCTGTAAAAAACAATACCTACACATTGGCTGAGGAGGAGCACGGGTGCCTGCGTGCCTCTGGTGGGAGACTTGCCCGCCTTCCCTCTTCCTCTAAAAGCACCAAAATCACAGCATTTCTCACGGGTTGTAAGACAAAACATAATCAACTTTTATCTTTGGCTAAAGTTTCTCACGTAATTTTCCAAACAGATACACAACTGATTATATTGCCCTTGGAAGCAAGATTGCGTGTGAATAGATTTCATCTAACACAGGGGTGTTTTATCTTCATAAACAGTGAAGCACAAGTAAATTTGTGAGATGCCATGACCGAACTAGAAGGTAGTGAGACGTTTCTTCATTCAGTACGAGGTGTCCAGATCTCTGGATGTCACGGTGTCACCACGCAGGACTGCTGGCTGAGCTTCCTTCCCCAAGTGCAGCACGAGCCACGTAAAATGCAGACGGACTGGGGTGGACTTGGCTACCGGCTAAGGCTGCACAATCAAAGCAACACAAATACACCCGTGGTCACCCCCACTTTGCAGCTGGCAGACTGTAGCACTCAGCGGGGAAATGACTCACCCAAAGTCACAGCCGCAAAATGTGAAGATTCACCACACATATAACTCCCAAGTGAACTAATCACTCGCCTTTGTGTAACTGGCATGAACGTCTAGAAGGAGCCACGGAAGAGCACACGTGTGCTGTGCAGCCTCCTTAAGGATCAGGCACATCTACTGAACCTTTAATAAAGTTCAAAACCTAACTTCACCTAGAACACCTCAGGCTAGGTGTTAAGAAGCACCCAAAACACAAAAACACTGCCCCTTTTATTAGGGGAATTACCTACATTTTGAGCTTTTACTTATATCTATCTCATTTAAAAATCACAAATGACCCATGAAATAGGACTGGTCATTCCCATTTTAAGGATTCTTTGAATTTCAGAACAGAATGAATAGCACTGAGAAGGGATGACTTTTTTAGTAATAGGTGCAGTCACTTGTTAATAGTGAGGGGTGGGACACAGAGGGGGGACAGGGTGGTCAGAGACTGAGAGAGGGGGGGACCAGCAGGGAGGGCCAGGCTGATGCCGAGCAGGTCTGATGAAGTCACCCAAGCGCCCAACCACAGAGGCCCGCCTTTTACACGCAGGAAGGCTACCAGGTGGAACGCACGCTTTGTGTCCCAGGAGCTCATCTTCTTTCTACACCTCACCCTAAAAACCCATTTACCCAGAGTCTGAGATAACAGGTGCCAGCCAATCCATCAAACGTTTCCTGGATGTGCCAGTTGCCACGGTTAATGCAGTTCATGAAATAACTCAGCTGGAGAGCATTTTATTAACATCTGTCCCAACTTACCAGCTCAGCCTCTGCAGATACCACGTCTTGCAATTTTCTATTAAGTAAGGAAGCAGGCCCTTTTTCCCCCCCAGCCTCCCTTACTTCTAGGACATACAGGTGCTGCCATCTTGTGGCCATAGCAAGCACAGCCATGCCATTCTGGACAAATTCCACAAAAACATCTCCCGACTAAAATTATTGAAATTTAGTAGTACACAAAATGTAAAGGCAATTATTAAATTAAACAAAGATATATTCAAGCAGTCCTAAGTTTAAGACATTTGCTTATATGGTGGCTGTTTAGAACTCAAAACACGTTTTCTCTTCAAAAGAACCTGTATGTGGTGATGGGCTCCCATCGCTCGCCGACCTACACCTGTATACCCGGCACAAACTCAGCACGTGACACGTCCCAACCACGCCTGGCTGCCCTTTGGAACCGTGCCTGGCTCCCCCCTCAGGGTGGCATGTGGCCTTGCTCTGGAACAAAACTCGGTGCCACCCCTCAGACTGAGCAATTAGCTAATCGATACATTGTCCAGGACACAGGCACTGAAGTGGCCCCGGGGTGCTGAGCACCCTGGCCCCCGACGAGGCAGATTCCCAGACACCCCCTAACTCCGCCTTTGCGAAGGGCAATCTGAGATACACTACTGCCATTTGTCACATTTTTTGAGCACCTGCCCAGCCCCTGGCCCTATCTGAGTGCTGGAAATAGAAAACCACGAAACACGATCCTTGCCCTTCAGGAAATCCCAGGACAATGGGGGAAATCCCCCCGTGTCCAGCCGTACAGTGCGGTGAGGGAGGTGCCCTGCGGGAGGCAGTGCGGGCATTTCAGGGGGAGGCTGTGTGCAGGGCTCTCTACGTCTAAGTTTTCATGCAGCAGTTGTTATATGCCAGGTGCTGTTTCGACTGCCTACAAACATTAATCTGTTAGCTGTCGTGTGAGACAGGTCCTATTATTGTCCCATTTTACAGATGACAGGTTGAGCTGCAGAGCCCTGCGCCCCGGGTCGGGGGAGCCTGTCTCACAGGCCCCTGAGACTCACGTCCCTCCGCCTGCGCTGCTGCGGCTCCGCGACGCCTCAAAGGCAGCAGGGACGGACCACCTAACTGCGACCCGGGGAGGGCGATGGCTTCCCCTGGGGCTGATTCTCAGGTGTGTGTGCAGTAGGCGTTGGAGGCTTGTGTTCTGGGTAGAAGGAAGAGAAAACTCCAAGACACAAAGCCGTTAAGTACCTGACAGAGCCAGGAACTCCCGTGACTCCCAAAAACTACAGAAACTATAGAGGACGTACAAGGGTGAGCAACCCGAGAGGAAACTCGAGAAGGGACAGGAGTGGCGCTAAGTCGAAACAGGACTTAGAGAACCGCCTTAAGCATTCAGTGATGCCCTCAGATTTAAAGATGGTTTGGTAGGAGGGCGGGTCATTAGGCAAATTAGGAGACTGTCACAAAACCAAGGTGATAAATCTCAAGTTGCGTATTCGCCCTCTGGATAGAGAAGAAGACTGCACTTGAGATTTATTCATTTGTGTACACGTTCATGCTCATTAATCACGAGCCCGGGATGTCCCATCATCTATGAACATTTACAACAAGAACAGTCGTCAATCACGAACATTCACAACAGTTCCAGAAAGTCCCCTTGTTCCCTTTCCCATTTCATCCTCCGAGTAAAGGTGGTTCTGTAGGGACCCGACATGATTCAATCCAAGGAAACAGCTTTTCGATTCAGAAGGATTCACCGCAGGATACATTTTGTGAGGAAAAGAGAAAACTGAACACCTTGTAGACAGTCCTACATAAAGAATGTAGACTTCAGATCTAACTAATAATCACTGGGGCTGTTATCTTAGAATAGTTTCTTTGTTCATTTCTTAACTCCACTCGTCTGGTCCTGTGCTTTGCATGGAATGGCAAAGTGAACGGACAGGTTGGCCCTGTGGTCAGAGGGCCAGCTTGCGTCCAGCCGGAGAAACCATTCTGGGATGTGGGGCATTCTGGGCGGAGGCAGGGAAGGCTGGGAGGATGAGATGAAGCACATGGGTCCCTCATAAATCTCCTATTTTACACACCTCACTCTTGCACACCACTTTACAGAACTGCCCTCACGGATCTGGTCTTCGCGATGGCCCTGTGACAAGGCAGGTGCCACTGCAGTCACGCCCCACCCACTTCACGACAGAGATGCGCTGCAGGAAATGCATCCTCCGGTGATTTTGGGCTGTGTGACTGCCCTGGGCGCACTTACACGAACCTAGATGGGATGGCCTGCTTCACACCTAGGCCGTGTGGGACGGCTCGTTGCCCCTTGACTACAAGCCCACACAGCATGTTACTGTGCAGAACCGAGATTAAACAAAGCAGGAGAGAAAAGGGTGTCGTTGAGAGATGTGGCAGACGCCAGGTGTGTGAATGAGGCTGCCCAGGGAGGCACAGGTGGCTGTTCTACAGCAAACTCTTGGCATGAGCAGAAAGAGTGCACGCTGCAATCGTGATAAAAAGCATAGCCTAGCAAATACATAAACCAGGAACATGGCCGTTTATTATCAAGTATTATATACTGTACCTATCGTATGTGCTACACTTTGACACGACTGGCAGTGCAGCAGGTTTGTTTGCACCAGCATCGCCACGGACACAGGAGGTGTTGACCTGTGATGCCACCACATCGCTAGGTGACAGGGACTACTCAGCTCCACCGTAATCTTACAGGACCACCATCACAGATGCGGCCCGTTGTTGGCTGAATTACCATGATGTGGCACGTGACTGTATTCCCCTTCTGTAGCTATGAGAACGGAGGCCCGGAGACGTTGTCTCAACGCCACAGACGGCTACGCTGCGAAGGGAAGCCGTGGCTCCCTGAAAGTGCTGATGCGCGTCGGGCCAGCTGGGTGGCAGGAACCCCAGGGCCGCCCCCTCACCCCCACCAGCACTGACACCAGCCCCTGCGTGAACATCAGGCCTGGCTGGCAGGAGGGGGGACCACCTGGGCCCTTCACAACCCACTTCCTGTGGGGAGGTGAATCTCTGGCCCTGGCACCGTCCCCTCTGGAGAATGTTTTTCCTGCTTCCCCTGTGGGAGGGTCTCCAGCCACCTCTGTCCCCGCTGAATGGCGGTTCTAATTGACGCCCACCCTCCTTTGTGTGCCAGTATCTTGCCCGTCGCTCCTGCACCATGAAAATCCTGCTGTGTGACCTCCTGCTGCTCAGTCTCTTCTCCAGCGTGCTGGGCAGCTGCCAGAAGGACTGTCTGACCTGCAGAGAGAAGCTCCGCCCCGCTCTGGACAGCTTCAGCCTGGAGGTAGGTCCCGGAGGCCCCCGCCTCCTCTCGCTGCCTCCCCTCCCTGCCTCCTCCAGGGCAGGCCCAGAGTGGAAACTGAGGCCGGCCCGGGGCAAACCCTGTTGCCTCTCCACTTTGCCCCGTTCAGAAAAAGGCCTGCCCATGCTGCCATCTTGTTTGATTATTAAAACGGTGCATTCCCATTTTAGAGAATCTGGCAAATTAGAGAAGTTTAAAAAAAGGAAAATTAAAATCACGCTGAACCCCACCGGCCAGAGGAAGAAGCCTAGTGCTGGCACTTGCTTCATTCTGCCAGGATGATCCTCTGTGTTGTTGAACATGAACTTAATTCCCTGTGGACACAGTGTGATCGTTAACCACCCCCTCCAGCTGAACACACGTGTTGTGCTTCCTGTTTAATGTTACCGATCACTCCACAGTGAACACCTCAAATGCTCCCTTATATTTTAAATTCTGAATTTGAAATGCAAATCCAACAAAATTTCTTTATATTAAATAAGCTGCTTTCTCCACGGTCTTCTATTTCAATTTAAATAGTTATTCCTCTCCTATTAAACCCAAAGTAACTCAATTTTTTTCCTTTGTAACAAACTCCATCGAAAAGATGCCTTGTTTCAAACTCCTCCACCTTTAAAATCAATCAAGAACAACTGCTGTCCTTAAGGCAAGGGTCTGAACACAGAAACCAGGTGCTCCCAGGTGGGCAGAGGCACCAGCAACGAGCAGACACAGCACCGGCCGGCCCAGGCACCAAGCTCTTCCCACCCCGGCTCAGTGGTTTTCAACCTGTTTTCTGAACCATAATAGCCGCTGTGTCACAAAAGCATTCCCCGATAACCTGTTCCAAGTTCACCCTGCCCTCTCAGCCACTCTCCATGGTTTTCCCGATTTAGACAAGGGTCCCCAAGGTGAGCAGATGGGTAGTGTGCGCAACCACTGTGAGAGAAAAGGCCACAATCCCTCCATGAGAGAGTAATTCCTGGGTGCTGGGGAAACACAGAGCAGTGCACCCCAACCTAGTCTGGAGGGGCAGAGGGGGCTTTTGGAGGAACAGAAGTCTCGAAGGCAGGGGTGTCCAACCTTTTGGCGTCTCTGAGCCACACTGGAAGAAGAAGAGTTGTCTTGGGCCACACATTAAGTACATTGCAACACATAACCACAAAAATATCTCATAATGCTTTAAGTAAATTTACTGTTTTGTGTTGGGCTGCATTCATAGCCGTCCTGGGCCGCATGCAGCCTGTGGGCCGCGGGCTGGACACCCCTGCTAAGGAGACCTAAGGATGAGTGGGAGTGAAGGGTCACAAAAGGCAAGGACCTACACCCGAGATTGCTCTATCCAGCAAAGCTTTCATTTAGAATAGAAGGACAGATAAAGTGCTCCCCTGATAAGATCAAGTTAAAGGAGTTCATCATCACCAAGCCACTATTATATGAATCGTTAAAGTGGTTTATTGAAGAAAAAGAATATGAGCAAAACTCTGAACAGTAAAATGGCAACAGGCTCACAACTATCAGCAATGAACCAAATAAATAAATAAATAATAAATAAACTAAGTAAACAACTAGAACAGGAACAGAATCACAGAAATGGAAACCACATGGAGGGTTAGCAATGGAGCAGGGGAGCAGGGAATGGAGGAAAAGGTATACAGAATAAGCATAAACAGTAGGTACAAAATAGACGGGGAGGTTAAGAATAGTATAGGAAATGGAGAAGCCCATGAAATTATATATACGACCCATGGAAATGAACTAAGGTGGGGGAATGTGGGTGGGAGGGGTGTACAGGGCAGAGGGGAATAAAGGGGGGGAGGAATGAAACAACCATAACAGCATAATCAATAAATTATATCTTTTACAAAGGAAACAAACCACTTCCCCTTGGTCTTAGTAAACAGAGCAGACCACTAGTTTGCGTGGAAGCCAGCGGAGAGGATGGCGCCATCATCCCCTAATCACCACACTGTGGAGGTTCTCAGGGTGCAGCGTGGACCAGCCTGAAGGTTGCATAGAATTCCTGAAGCACCAGCTTTAACTATAACCCTTTGTCTCCCACTCAAAAAAGCACTAGGACTCAGGAGATATGTACACACCCCTGTCCACGGCAGCACTATTCACAACCTCCATCAAGTGTCCATCAGTAATGAACGGGTGGCCCTGGCTGGTGTAGCTCAGTGGATTGAGCACGGGCCTGCGAACCACACGATTGCGGTTCGATTCCCCGTCAGGGCACATGCCTGGGTTGCAGGCCAGTTCCCAGCAGGGACCAGTTCCCAGCAGGGGATGCAACCATACACTGATATTTCTCTCCTTCTCTCCCTCCCTTCCCTTCCCTTCTAAAGATAAATAAAATTTAAAAAAAATAATGAACGGGTAAATGGATGCACGTGTACGGACAGTGGACTATCACTCGGCCTTAAAAGGACACAGCAACGACAAAAATAAATGTTGAAGACACTGTGCTAAGTGAAGAGTCAGACACAAAGGGACACATGCTGACGGTTCTACTTAGAGCGGTCAAGTTCATAGACGAAAAGTAGAGAGGTGGCTGCCGGGGCTGGAGGGAATGCGGAGCAGAGGGTTGGCGGATGGGGACCTTCACCTGGGAAGACAGGAAAGTCCTGGGTGTGGAGGAGACCAGGACGGCTCAACACTGGGAGGGCTCTAAACGCCACTGAATGGGCGCGGAAAATGGTGAAGACGGTGAATTTAGGAACGTAACGATAAGGATACCCCGACTCTGCTCTAATGTATTTTTTTACAAGGTGAATTATTATTCACAGAGGATGTGATCTCCTTCTAACAAACATCACACCTGATTGTGAAACACTAGTGAGACTTCACACCCCCTCAGACACCATGACGTTGGATTGCCCAGTAGCAGCAGAGGGCGGCCAGCAATCTCCTTCCCACCATCCCAGGAACCCGTCTTCACTCCCCCACCGGCCTCGCATCTGCGCTCCAGGCCCTGCTCCTCCGCCTTCCGCACCACCGATTCCCCCCTCCTACCTGCTCTTTCCTTCCCGTTGTTGTCAGTCTTCGTTTGTCTGAAAGTTGACGACTTTGACCCCCTTGCCGCTGCATCACTCTCAGCTGCCCTCCCAGGGCCGCCAGCAGCTCCTAAGCACCGAACCCGCCGGCCGACAGGCGGGTGCCCACGCCTTGTCCTGTTTGGTGAGCTCGCCTGGCGCGCTCCCCTGCTCTGACTCTTGTTTTCCTGCCTCCTCTGGGGTTCCTGCTCCTCTCCCCACCCCAAACATCACGACCATCAAGATTCCCTGCTTCTCACCTCCACGTGCTCTCTCCCTCCGCGACATCCCTGTATCCGGGCCTTCGGCTCTTCCCAGGCCGCAGTTACTGCCCCAGGTACAGCCCACACCGGTCTCCGCTGAGCTCCAATCACTTGCCACACTTCCCGGAAATCCCGCCTTCCTCTCCCAGCCTTCCCACGGCTCCGGGAAATTGCCCTCCCACCTTAAACGTGCCTCTCCCTCCTCTTGTACTTCAAACCCGATCAAGCCCTGGCCTGGTGGGTCAGTTGTTTGGAGCGTCGACCCATGACTGGGGTTTGTGGGTTCAATTCCAGGTCAGGACACATACCTAGGTTGTGGGTTCAACCCCTGATTGGGGCGCATGAAGGAGGCCACTGATAGATGCTTCTTCCATCCATGTTTCTTCCTCTCCCCCTTCCTCCCGACCTGAAGTCGATGGATATGTCCTCGGTGAGGATTTTTTTTTAAACTTTGATTGTTTCACCTCTGATGAGAACACTTTGCTCTGACAGTTGTTTGTCTGTCACCATAAGGCTGAGCTTTCTTTGCTGATGGTTCTGGGGGTCCCACCCGTAGCCCAGTGTGTGGCACAGCGTGTTGGAAATTGAAAAACCGTAAGACCTTCGGTCTTCTTACGGGTGCATGCAGTGCGGATGCTGTGGAGTTTTTACGCTGGTGTGTTTCGACGCCAGTGGAGAATTGGGAGCATGTTTCCACGCATCCACAGCATCTTAAATCTCTGGGGTCCAGACAGTTCTGATAGTTTACGTCTTTGAAACAAGTTAGGAAGTGGCCAGTCATGGCCTTCCAGTGGGGGACAAACCCTCTGCGGCGCCTGCTGACGTCCCAGTGGAGGAACTGGCTGCCTGGCTGGCAGGTTTCTAGTTTGTATTTACTGTTAACCTACTTGTTTCTTTAAGTTTCATGAAATGTCTAGAATGTAGGCAACCTCTCATTTCCAAATCTGGCAACTCTCGAGTCTGTCCACCGTGTGATAATGGAGGGGGTGGCACTCGGATACTTCAGCCAGGGTCAGCCCCCCAGCCCCTCCACCAAACCATGTGGCCCCGAGCTCCCCCCCAGGACCTTTTGCACCTTTGGCTTCATCAAGCATTCCTTTACTTCTCACTCCAAGTCCATGGTCCAAGGACGGCTGGCTTTGTCTTAGGCTATAATTTTGGTCAGTAAATGACTCTTGTGCTAAACCCGTCGCGGTATCCTCGGCTTTCATCTAACAGTGACCGGCGCTTTACCGCATCGTCTCGAGTGGGGAAAACTGCGTGTTTTAAAGACAAAGGAGAAGGCAACTCTCAAGAGAGGCCTGAGGAAATGCAATTAAAACTCCTAAAACTCTGACAGCAAAAAGAAACCACCTTCTGCTAGTGCTTTCTGTCTTTATTACATGAAAAACCCTTGGTAGTTGATTTGTAGTAGGAGCCTCTTCTGTTTTTCTTTCACACTGTCCATCTGCTGGCCTGCAAGAGTCAGCCCTTGGGTATCCTTGCAGAACCTCCTGAAGCAAGCAGCCCCCAAATGCCTATCAGTCGGAAGTGGTTTGATCCTTTACTGATGGAAACCTAACAACGTAAATGAGCTTCCCTTCCGATGGGCTTGTGTGCCTGCTCCCTCGTCTGCGACCCCAGGTCTTCGTGTGGCCCTTTGCTCAGTATCCCCACAAGTGCAGCTTTGTAGTTCAATTTGGCACCAGTCTGAGACTTTCCAGATGCTCATCCACACGCTGGCTTAATATAGCAACGTCATCAGTGAGGGCTGTGAAAATGTGTCCGGCTCCCTTAACAGGCTATTAACCCAGCCCTGGAAAGAGGCTGGTGGGCTCCTCAGACCAGACGGTGAGGCATTAAAGCTCCGATGCCCATCTGGTGCTGCAAATACTGCGGTGACTTTGGGTCCCTCACATTTGCCGAAAACCTTCTCCTAAATCACGAGTCAAGAGGACTTTGTTAGTGCCCAGTGCCTCTAGCAGTATGGCGTGTCTTGGTGAGGGCTATGCATCCGCTTTGATCATGGAATTTCATTTTCTCTGATTAACACACAATCTAATTACCATCTGGGCTTAGAAACCTCAGGCGCCTGCAGAAGACCTAATAGCCCTTAGGTTTGACAACTTCCACCTGTTTCTGTAAATGGACGGCATAAGAACAAGTCCACAAGCATTTGGGGGCTACCATTCTGTGAGGACTGGGCCAGGTGTGCCCGAAGATCCACTTCGGTGCTGGAATTCTGCACTCCCACTGGCTTTCCCAGCGCTGCCCACGTCTTCCTGCGTTCCCCTTGGCTCTGTAGAGCACAGTTTCTCAGACTCACCACTGAGGAAAGTTTAGGCTGGATGCTTATTTGTAAACATCCTGTGCACAACAGGATGTTTAGCCGCATCCCTGGGCTGTACCCACGTGTGATAGCAGCCCTCCCACCCATCTGCCGTGTGGCAACTAAAATATCTCCAGACATTGCCAAACGTCCCTGGGGCGGGCAGGGGGCAAAACCTCTCCCAGCTGAGACCCACGCTGGCAAGTAATAACCCAAAGGGATTATGATCTGAAAGAACGTGTCACGAATTGGTTCTATTTGCTTTTCTTCAAAGCATTTCAGGAGCAGGCTAAGGACAGGCCCACATGAGCCTACCTCTGATGGAATTTCTGCCCCTCACATCCCCTGATGGCTTCTCCCCCTTCAGGTCCAGCCTCAGAATCACCGGGAGCGCCTGCAAAAAAGGAAAGTCCCCGGGCCCCACCCTTGGCGCACTGAGCCGAAGTCTCCAGGGGGGATGCGCTAGGCATCTGCACCCTAGCAATCCCCAGCTGCCACTCTTACACCACGCTCAAGTGTGCAGCCGCTGTTGCTCTCAAGCCCCTCCCCGTCTGTGGAAGCTGCTCTCCTTCTCCCACACGCAGTGACCTGGTGGGGTGAGAAAGCAGTTTCTCTAGATATCTTGGCTGGGTTGGCACTGACCACGCATTACTTCTGCCAGCTTCTCTGGAGAAAAGCTAATGGAAAAGACGCTCAAAAACCACGGCTTGAGGATCAGTAGGTGCCAACATCACTGCCTCTCGGTGTGTAGGTGTGGCAAGGGTGCTCCCTGGACGCCGTACCAGTGAGGGAGAGAGGCGTCCCCCGGATGCTCTCTCTCTCCTCACTCTCCCTTTCGTCTCCATCGACTGGCAGTATCGCAAGTACATACGGGTCATTGGGCAGGAGACGTCCTGGGACGGGACTTGAGACGTGTGTCCTTGTTCAGGTTTTAAGAGTTTCTAACAGTGTAGGTTTGGACATGCTGCTGAATCTTATTGTAACGAGTGAACTTGGACGACATCTGTGGTTTCCAAACCTTGGCAAACTTCAGAATTATCTGAGCTCAGTAAAAATAAATTCAAACCCTGGTTCTATTCTTCAGGGATTTAACTGGGTTTTGAAATCAGTGGTTTTTAAAGTTCTATAGATGATTTGGATCCGTACGCAGGGGTGGGACCCATTGGACTTTGCCCACAGAGGCCTCTGTGCCACTGTGAGCCCCTGGGTGAATGTTTTTGCCCCCCAGACGGGGACTACAGGGCACAGCCGGCAGCATCCTGGTGTCCCGCATCTGCCTGGACAGGCCTGTAAGCCAGGCAAGGGATCCAAGGTTTGATGAGAGACTCTGCAGCCTCCTGCTGACCATGAGGGCAAGGTCACAGGGAAGTGAGATTGTCATCTAGCTAAGGCCAGAAACACAGAGAGGAGAACTTGGGCTGAAGCCAAAACAGCAAATAAGAAGCAAAGCTGGAGGCAGAGGCTTCCCGGAGACCCACAGAGACGGGAATGTGGAGGTGTGTGGGCAAGGCCAGAAGCAGTTGAGGGGAGTCAGGAAAACATCACGGTTAGGCTGCTGATGCAGGCGAGAAGTGGAGACACCAGGAGAGGCAGGACAGCAATAGAAGATTCCAGAAGCCTGGTGGATCTACTGGATTGTATCAGATGGTCCCTCTTCCCACCTGAAACCCCAACACGCCTACATCCCAAAGCACGTTGACCTTCATTTTTATAAATGATGCCCAGATAGTGAGGAGAGTTGGGGGATGGTGAAAAATGAGTACCAGGATTGATCTTACCTGGTGACCTTAAAGTAACCATGCAGATTTAACTACATACTTTGGCAATCCCACTTTCTTAAGCCAATCTGACCTCCCCTGAGCCTGACAAAAGAACAAAATTAAATTCTTCTTTACGAAGGAGCTGTGTTGGGCTCTAGAAAGCTAAGTCTGTAATGGGGTACAGTTTGAGTGTGTACGTTCTTCATTAACTTGCTGCGTCTGGAGTCAGGTAAGCTCACGTTTCTGAGCCCCCAGTTTTCTCACCTGTGAAATGATGGAGCTGGGCCAGAGATTTTTCTCTTTCTTTCCACCTTTGAAATTCCATGAACCTAAAGACCTACAGGTAAAACGGCTGCAAGTACCTACCTAACAAAGAGATGCTTCAGAAATACTTGCCTTGGTACAGAGGGACTTTTTCTCCTTGTTGCCTTGGATGAATAGATGTCCACCTGGTCTTTCTTCCTTCCTCCCACCTCTGCCTTTGCAGGTGTGTATCCTCGAGTGTGAAGGAAAGTCCTTGTCCAGCCCTATCTGGACCCCGTGCAGCAAGGTCATGGTCAGGGGCTCCTCGCAGCTCAGCCCTGTGGACCCAGAGCACTTGGCAGCTGCTCTCTACCAGCCAAGAGCCTCTGAGATGCATCTGAAGCGAATGCCCCGTGTCAGGCGCCTATTCCAAGAGCAGAAAGAGACAGAGCCAGGCATGGATGAGGCTGGAGAGAAGGAGCAGAAGCAGCTGCAGAAGAGGTTTGGGGGCTTCACTGGGGCCCGGAAGTCGGCCCGGAAGTTGGCCAACCAGAAGCGGTTCAGTGAGTTTATGAGGCAGTACCTGGTCCTGAGCATGCAGTCCAGCCAGCGCCGGCGCACCCTGCACCAGAATGGTAATGTGTAGCCGGAAGGGGAGCCCCTCCCAGCTGCACCGTCCACTTCAACCCATGAGTGAGTTGGGCAGGAATGAGCTGGGGGCAAGAAGAAACCTCATGTATCTGACTCAGCACATTAGCCCACAGACACACACCCCCCACACCCCAAGGTATTCAGCTTCTGGGAGGCCTAGGAGGGAGGTAAATTCATTCCCCTGCCTCCCGCCCACCCTTTTTCTAGGGAGCAAAGGATTTTTTAGGATTGCTCCTTAAGGCTTACTACTGCCATTTAGAGACTGGTTACCATGGGGATAACAGTAGTAGGTTAAGATAACTAATTCCTCTATAGCTCTCCTGGAGCTTAGTTACTATGGGGACAGTTAAGTGGACCAATCCTCCATTCAGTTGCCATGGCAACTGTTCAGCTCACCTTCCCTCTGAGACTTTATCTCTAAGACCCCATAGCTGGACCTACCCTTAGCCATTAGCAAACAGTTTGATTTCTGTGGCTGTGATATTGCTGTTTCACCTGCAAAAACAGCTTCCCTACCCCTCATGTCTCCCCCACTGTATCTCAAGGTGACTGGATTCCATAGAAACCATGCAACTTTCCCACTCTCCCCCCATCAGGGAGCTATACTTCCCATTCTTCCCTCTTCCACTTGTCATGTGCCCATCCCAGCGCCTGGCCCCAGGGCCAGAATCCTGGTGGTCAACAGCCTCTCCACTGAGCTTTGAGAATTTGGCCCGACTGACCCGATAGCTCTCAGAACTAAGGGGTCATCATCTCCCCTCACTTTTTGCTTCTTTCCTGGGCCATTTTTGGTTTGTTTCTGTTTGTGTGACTGCCCTTATTCCTTTCTCCCCTCTGGTCCATTCTTACCCCCACAGCCATGCTTATCCATGTTCTTATAGCATTTATATATCAGGTTAAAAAAACCATCGAGGACCCTAATTTATTGTCCAGTCATTACAAACTCAACTTTCTTCAGCCCATACATAACGCTGGGTAGCACAGAGAACTAGCACAGTGGAATTTTCTGAAAACCCAAGAAGATCCATGGAGCCTCTGTGCCTTAACTCACACATGGGCATGAGACTACCCGCATGGAGTCTCACGCCTCCTCTTAAACCATCTAGAAACTCGCCCTACCAGAAAGAACCCATCAGTTGGTCAAAACCATTTCCAAAACATCACCCAAGTGGGGCTGTTCCCTGACTCAGGGGCAGGAAAGAGGAGGCCCGTGCGTGCTGCTTTGTTTTGCAGCGAATACGTTCATAGCAGCCAGATTGTTACTGATCTTCCTCCCAAGTATGTTACTGCTTGTGTTAATCACTGGCACTTGCACTTCTGCAGCGAGGCAGCCCACACAGTTTTGCTTGCCAGAGGCCCACTGCCATATACGGACATGCGCCTCGGGCTGGGAGAAGGCTGCTGTGTTGATTTTAGCAGAATAACTCATCTCTGAAGGCCCTAAATTAACCTGCACTGTTTCTGAAGTCATACTCTTGGGTCCTTAACAAGCATTTTCTTTCTTCCCAAGCCATATCTGCACAGTACGTAACAGTAAATCTTTCAGAAGTAGCATGGATTGAATTCTTTCAAATCTTAAAGACATTCTTCTGTAAAGTGGCTCTTAAGGGACACTAAAGCTTGTTTCCAATTCTGAAGTACAACCATTTCTTTACCTACAGACAGTTTAAAATCAGTCATGTTAGCAGGAATCGATTCATTATTTAAAAAAAAAAACTATTCAAGCCCATAATCAGGCGATTAGTTTTTCTCATTTTCTATTAGGCCTCCAAGGGAGAGGCGTTGAGACAGAACTGGTAACTAAGCGTCTGTCCGCCACTCTGCTCAGGAGGTAAACTTTGTTGATGAAACACTGGAAACCTTGACCTGCGCCATCTGGGTTTATCGACTGCTCCCTTCCCCCGTCTGCAACCGTCTATTTCTTCTCCCACACGCTCATGGCTGCTGAGTTCCTTGATGGGTCAAGGGATGTGTATTTATGAGCCCATCTCAGGCAGCTGAAACCTTGTCTTTATTCCCTTACACCCTAACCAGACCTACACACACTTGGGATTTCTCCCTCGTGGGGAATCCAACGGCCAGTGTCAATCTGTATGACGAGGCTGGAGCCAACTGGGCTGTCTACCACGGGAACAGGCCGAAGGCCCGAATGAGAGAGCGTGATGACGTGTGAGGAAGGAGGGAGCTGGGGTGCAGGACAAGTCCTAGACAGAAGGGTGCAGAAGACACAACCCATTGGGGTGTCAGCCCTCTCTGTCCCTGGCCCTACACTGTCTCCTCTTTGCTGCCCCAGGACTTGACCCTCTTAGTCAGTGGGAAGTGAGCATATTCATTCATGGTGAGCAATTAGTGAAATCGGGCTTAAAGAGCACCATCTATGAGGATATAGTTAAGAGAACCATAAATGAGAATAGAATTCAGCCTCAAGAAATAAACTACTACACATGGGTTCCAAACAGTCCCACGGATAAAAGCTGCTTCTAGGCGGAGCATCTACCCTGTGCCTTCCGAGTGCCCATCCACAGACCTCCCCTGTGGTCTGTCGGTCACGCCAGTGGACTGTACCGGGGCACAACAGTCTGCCGCAGAATAGGTCTATATATATGATGCAGGTAATTTATGCCCACGCACACACACATGTGGTGTGTAGAGGGAGTTAGGGGACCCTGCTTGCTGCTTTAGGGCTTGGCTATTCGATAGGTAACTTTTCTTTGCCTCCTTTCCATCGCCCGGTCATGAGGGCAAATAGGATGGAAGGGTCAGTGAAAATGTCTGGTTTGCCATTATAACCGTTTCTGTCTCCCCAGGTGTCCGGGTGACCCCCAAAACAGCATGTCTCCAGCCCCAGACCTGCCGGCTGGGCATCCGGATCCCTTCCTCCCCCCGGCACTGAGCCAGGCTTTGCCCCCAGGCCTCCGCCCCCAGGGTGCAGAACCTCCCCGTCTGGTTGTCTTCCCTCCCCCTCCCCCCTCCCATGGCATGTTTCATGACGACCCCGTTGCTACATCAGAGTGTATTTTTGTAATTCCTCCAGTGAACATTGGCATGGCCCCATCTTTCCTTCTCACCCACCTCTTCCCCCTTCCAGGGGTGGGTCAAGGGAACAGGACGTCACGCCTGGGGTTTTGACTTGTCACTGCCATAACTTGTTTGTAAAAGAGCTGTTCTTTTTGACTGATTGTTTTAAACAGATATTTCTCCATTAAACTTCTACCGAGCAAATGATTAGTAACGTTGGTCGGCTGTTTTTTAAGTGAAGTGGCGGAGAAGCACAGACTCCAAACACACCCCTCGGAGCCGCCTCTCCTGGGAGGCAGAGGCGGAAAGCACGCGGCTCTGCTGTATGGAAAGCACGACAGGCAGGACACGTGCTGTGTCCCCAGAGGCCAGTAGACGGACGGACGGGGGGACGGAGGGGCCGAGGTTCTCAGAAACTCCCTGTGCACCTCACCACCAACAGGCAAGTTGTTGGATCCCACACCCTGCTTCCGACTCAGTAAAAACGTGCATTTTTAACAAGTTCGGAGAGACAGGGATCCTGCTGCTTTGGGACCACTGGACTGCGCTGTGAGGCCAGGGCAGAGCCTTGACAAACATACTGGTGGTGTTTTTTTCCTCCAGTTTGACATGAAACACGTGGAGGTGTGTAACTGTGAGCACGCAGACATCTGGCTTGCCCAGACAGAGTAACTGGAGACAGCCAAATGCCTGCGGCACAGGGGAGGGGACGGTGCTCTGCTGAGGCAGCGCAGGGCCCGGGAAGGCGCTCCTGGTGCCCACGGAGCTGGAGCTCTCAGCAGGGAAGCACAGCCATTCCCACTGTGCAGGAAGGGCCAGGAGGGGCAACACTCAGCTCCTCTCCTTCACCCATCAAACCGCAGCCTGGTGTCTCCTGTTGGTCGACCAACCAGAAGCCAGAAAGTTAGGGGGGGTCCACAGATGCAGCCATCGAGGTGAGCTTAGGGGGGCACCCAGGGCTGCAAACAATGTCCAGCTCAAGGGCAGTGAGCCAATTGCGGGGCTTGGGCAGACCATTAAAACAGCAGATTTTATTTGGGGCTCTCTTTGAGAGGTAGAGTGGGCAGGGACAAAGGGAAGGTGGAGAAAGAAGCCCTCCATCCCACCCCAAGGTAAAGGAAAAGGTCAAAGGGCAACCTCCCGACCAGCACCCCGGGCGTCTGGGCTTGACCCACTGGACTCAAGTTCCTGGGTCTCCTCAGAGCAGGATCCCCCTCGCCACCAGGCCCTGTTCAAGGTCCCTAGGACCCGCTCCTCACGGTCCCAACGCTGCAAGGGTGGGGCGTTGCTCTCTGCTCGCAGCACCCTCCCCACCAAGGCCACCAACTTTAACTGACCATGTGGCCAACCCTGCACATGAATCAATGAATTCAGGGTGTGGCCCATGCCATTCCCTGGGGTCAGAACTCGTTCTGTGAGTAGAGTGTGACTTGTTCTCTCCTAAATCACTTGCTAACCCACCAGTAGCCTCAGGGACATGGCGAGAACATGCTTCCCCTGGTCAACAGAAGCAGCAGAGAGAACTACAACCACCTGGATTATAGTCCTGGTGCCACTCCTTCCCAGTGTATGACCTTAGGAGTCCTACTGAACCCCTGTGCCTCGCTCTCTTCATCTGTAAAGTGGGGATAATAACAGCAGCTCTTTTGTGGGGTTACCGAGGTCATCCATGCAAGCATTTGGCTTCGTGTTACCTATTGTTGTGATTAGCAAACACGTACGTACACTGAGCCCACGGCATGGCATGGCACGCTGTCACTGGTTTGACACCAAAGACAGTGACAATCTTATCCTTCGCAGGGGGAGGGCTCAGAGGGACAGGCACACATCCAATCAGACAAGGTACCATTTTATTCCTTATAAAATATATTTCATATTGTTGTTGTAAAAACATTACATTTCACATTAAAAAAAACTTTTTAACAGTAAAAATAATACTTGGAAGACAGCTGGGGGAAAAGGCGCCAGTAAGACAAA